TGAACATCGCGGTCTTTCACCTGGGCAACGGATCTTCTTGCGGCTATAAGGTCATCAGCAATCATATCTGTCAGTCTGGTGATAAACGTACCGGCAATTATCACAAGCCTGAGCAACGCGTCGATATTGTCTTGATCGTGGGGCACTCATTCTTCGTGTTTATTGGTGTGGTTGATAAGAGACTGAGAGCGGTTGGTGACATTCAGAGCTGGTGCAGATTATGTATGCTACGTGTCTGACTGCTGCTGAGCCTGGGCCTCGAGTCAAAAAGTGCGGGGGTAAAAAAAGCCACTGAAAGCAGGGGGTAAGCCACTGAAAACAGGGAGCTCGCCACTGGCTCGGCCTGCTTAAAATTCCGGGTCTTGTCTTATCGGGCGCCTAATTTTGCGATAAGAAGCGTGGCTTGCAACGGCGAATACCTTTTTTATAATGGGCTTAACTGTGCTACGCGTTGAACTCTCTCGTAAGACTGTCGCGTCGCTCGAATTTTAATTTTACTTGTTGAGTTGAGGCAACAGTTGACGTTCCTAACTGGTTTCATCACGTTGCCTCAATGCACGTGGACCGAATCACCTTCTTTGTGGAATGCAGCCACCAGGCTGTTTCAAATCATTGTGTAGCAGATAGCATGAGTTGTTCATTTTTCACGATCTTATGATAGAAGTTGAAAAATTTGGATATAACAGTGATATCTAATTAATGCTGTCTAAATGCTCTGCTTCTACAACTTGCTATCTGCCCCTACCCTAGGGATGCCAAAGTTGGAGATATCCTCCTTTGTCTCACCATCTACCGCAAGCTCGGCCAAAACACGGCCAATCGCGGGTGCAAACTTGAACGCATGACCCCCACCCAAGCCGATGATCACATTGGGATGATTCTTCAAAGGGCTGATAACGAATTGACGATCAGGTGTAATAGCATATTGGCAAGTGACTGTTCGAATGGCTTGGCCCTTATCAGGTATCAGACCGCCCATAAAAGAGGTCAATTCGTTGAACAAGTCATCAGATGGGACAAAGGTGCGTTCTTCGGGTGTCATGAAGTTGTTGGATGTATCGCGTCCTGCCTTAATTGTTGGCTCGCCGTAACTGGGGAACCCGTAGAAATATCTGCTGCCAGCCCAGATCCATACAGGAAATTTTGTATCGTCAAATGGGGTGATATCGGTAGGTTTGTAGTAGGTGACTTGTTCTTGCATAATTTGAAGCGGGATATTTGTTCCAAGTGGTGTGATGAGCTTGTTGGTCCACGCGTCGCACGCCAAGATAACTTTGTCGGCGTGGAATTGCCCTCGAGATGTCTTGATAGTCATTCCCTTTCCATTTGAATCTGGGACCAATGTATCCACACGCGTCTTCTCCTTCAAAACAGCGCCGTTGGCACGAGCTTGATACTGCATGGCTGCAACAGACTTTGATGCATGTACTATTCCTGAGTCTGCAGTGTAGATCGTCTGAACACCTTCCGCAATGTCAAAAGAAGGCCAGCGCTTCTTGACTTCTTCAGAGCTGAGAACCTCATACGGGATGTTATTTGCGTCAAGACTCCTCATGAACTCAGAAGCACTCATGCTCTTCTCGAATTTGTTCAGGGATGCTCCATCATCGGCCAATTTGGGGAAGAAGACAACGCCGCCAGTGATTGTGAGCATTTGAAGACCACTTCGACGTTCCAGCTCAGCCCAGTCTTTGTAAGCTGCACGGGCTAGAGCCACATAGTCTGGTGATCCATAGGAGGTTCTAACGATACGTGATGTGTCGTGTGAAGATCCGTAGATGTTGCCAAAGTCATATTGCTCAAAGCCAATCACAGTAGCTCCTTTGATGGCGGCTTGATAGGCTGCTGCGCTACCGAGAGCACCGAGGCCAACTACGGCCACTTGGAAGTTGCTGTTTGACATGCTGAAATGAGAGGTGATAGAATGTAACTCTGCAATGATTGAAATATGGCTGAGGGAAAAGGAAGTGAATTGGCTTGCTAATCCCATGCTCTCGTCACAATGCCCTTCCTTATAATCGCGTCTAGGCCGATATAGCTTGAACCTTATCTTATCTTATCAAGCCAGTTCCCCGAGTTTGCGGGGCACATCGGATCATGAAATAAGTTGCCCGTACCCACTTGAGTGTTCACGGATTTTCCGTGCCCACCACGGATTCTCACGGATTCTTCAGCCGAGACTAACTGTAGGTTTGGGCCAACAACATTTCTCTACTAGCAATAAGCCCGTGACTATCACCAATACATAGGAGGCTCCAGCAACTATGGCCAGAAGATGCTTGCGTACGTTTGACATACACTTCTCTGCTCTTGGAAAATGATGAGAATAGCCACGATTCGACTCCAAGTGACTAGTGCGTAGCGTGCCGGGATGGTTTTCCAGCGCGATCAACTGGGGAGAAAGGTCCAGCGTTTGGATACTCTCGAACAATTCATACACAAGATACGATGCGCTCTTTTTGTCAAACCTCCTTCGAAAGGACTCATGAGCCGGTGGATCTCCCGATGCGTTGCGGCAGCGACACTCTCTGGATATAAAACGGCAATAAGAGTCTACATATTTGGCGGCAACGGCACCTTGTGCGGCAATAACACCAGGTAACACGGCGGCAGCGATACAATTGGGCGCCGCGGTCGATGTATTCTCAAGTGTAAAGAGGGGTTAAGCGTTACACGATGACGAGCCGAGGGAGCGTGAACATTATTTCTGTCAGCATCTTGGAGGAGTTGTCTTGTAAATATTCCAGCCTTCAACCCAGTCCCAAGTGTTCTATTCAAATAAAGCTATCCTCACCGTTCTTCTTCGACTAAGACATTCATCATTGCATTATTCTACATCTATTCCTTTGTCAAGCACTTTCACTATGGGCATAAACTCGTCAAACCCAGCTCATGAACCCGCGATTATCCCGCCGCAGACAATGGATAATAAACCAGTCTTGGACCAAAAGCCCACTGCAGACAAGGTGGTAAACGGATCCACCTCTCATGCGAATGGCGTCCATGAAACGTTCACTTGCAAGGATGCTCCAGTCGAGAACCAACGGCCTCTCAAGGTCCGTGTAATTGGCGCTGGGTACTCAGGCGTCTACCTCGGCATCAGAATCCCCCAGCGTCTGCGCAACATCGATCTCAAGATCTATGAGAAGAATGAAGGTATTGGAGGAACATGGTGGGAGAATCGGTATCCAGGTTGTGCCTGCGATATTCCTTGTAAGCAAGAGAACTTCATATGAGATTGAAAGTTGTTGACATACATGCCTGTAGCCCATTCTTATCAGTACACCTTTGCCCCAAACAAGGCTTGGTCGGGCTTTTACGCCCCTGCACACGAAATTTGCGCCTACATCGACGGAGTGGCAGAGAAATACGGTGCCAAGCGCTTCATTCATCTCGGACACAGAGTGACCAGCGCAACTTGGAATGATGTTGCCAAGAAATGGTATTGCCCGCATTACCTTATCTCGACCAATATTGACAATATCTAGGCTCGTCACTGTTGAGACCAACAAAGGAGAGACCATCTCTGAGGAAGTAGATGTCGTTGTTGCAGCGAGAGGTAACCTCAACACAATCTCCTGGCCGGAAATTCCTGGCTTTGATACCTTCAAAGGCAAGAAGATGCATTCGGCAGCCTGGGACCAAGAATATGACTTCAAGAACAAGAATATTGGTGTCATTGGTGGTGGATCAAGCTCGATTCAGATCGTGCCGGAGCTGCAAAAGGTGGAGGGTGCCAAGTTGAACTGCTTCGTGCGTAGCAAGGTCTGGATATCGAACCGCTTCGGCGATGTGACCATGAAGCAATTAGGATGGGATCCTTCGGACATTGAGTGTAAGTCCTCGAGAATAAAGCCAGCGAAACTGCATTGTCTAACATGGTAACAGTCTCGGCCGCTCGTTTGGCAGAATTCGTCAAGAGTGATGATGAATATCTTCGCTTCCGCAAGCGCATCGAGGACGACGGCAACTTGGTTCATCTCTCAACACTTCGAGGCTCAGACATGCAGAAAGAGTTCGTGGCAATGTTTTCAAAAATCACCAATGATGTTCTCGCTTCACGACCCGATCTTCTTGAATCGTTCTCACCAGGCTTTGGTGTTGGATGTCGCCGCCTGACACCGGGACCAGGCTATCTTGAGGCATTGTCCCAGCCCAACGTCAACTTCATCACACAAGGTATCGAGAGCATCAACGAGACAGGCCTGAAGCTCACCGGACCCGAGAGCCGACAAGTCGATATTGACGTATTAGTCTGCGCAACTGGTTTCCAGACTAACTACACTCCTCCCTTCCCTGTCGTCGGCAAACAGGGAGTAACGTTGAAGGAGAAGTTTGATCCGTTCCCTGCGACGTATCTCACTATGACAGTGGATGGTTTCCCCAACTACTTCATGATGCTTGGCCCCAACTCAGCCATCGGCGCTGGCTCCTTGACTTGTCTGCTTGAGGCAGAGGGCGATTATATCGTCAAGTGCATCCGCAAGCTCCAGAAAGAGGACTACGTGACCATGACGCCCAAATCATCGCGTGTTCAAGACTTTGCAGACTACATTGGCGAGTACTTCAAGAAGACAGTCTATATGGACGATTGTAAGTCTTGGTACAAGATTGGAGGCGGACATGGTGACAAGATCTCAGCTCTTTGGCCCGGAAGTGTCATGCATGCACTAGAGGCAATGAGAGCACCGAGATGGGAGGACTTTGAGTTTGAGGAGATGCACGAGAATAGACTTCGATGGCTGGGTAATGGCTGGAGTATGTGTGTTATGGCGGAGGAGGAGCAGGGTGATCCGAGTTGGTATGTCAACCCGGATGTGGTGGATGTGCCCCCTGAAGGGAAGCCAGAGAGAGATCCCAAGTACTTAGCCAGACCATTCTCCTATTGATGAACATCTAGTGAGATTAGTCTGAGAGTCTATATATTTAAAGACAGTATAACTAGCAGGGAAAGAAAGGAACTCGATTAGAGCTCCTATGTCAATTAATTACTAGGCTAACTATGCATCGCCACTATCAGCCAGAGCATTATCAAAGCTCTCGCTCAGAACAGCCTTGATGTTGGCAATGTGGTTGCGATAGTAGACAACAGCCGACTCCTCCTTGACGCCCTCATTGATATGGCCGTCTTTCTGGACATCTGCATTGACCGCCGCATTCCAGTCCTGCTGCACGTTCGAAGTTGGGGAGGGCGGGGAAAGGAGCATATCAACACTCTGGTATGCACCAGTTCGAGTTGTCGATTGCACATGTACCTGGTACCTGGCTCGGATCAAGGCATCTGCAATGTAGGTAGTTCCACCTGTCACGACAGCAACAGTAGCTGCGAAGGGCCAATTGACCTGCCCAACAAATTTGAAGGAGACTAGTTCTCCCCCAGCTGCACTGTTCAGATTCAATTCATCAAGTTGCTGAGCTAGATTCTGACTGCAACTCAAGGTCAGTTCCGTGCGTGTAGAGTGGGGGGGCTTGGAAAAGCATAGAAGGCATGAGTTTGAGTCAACTTACGCTGCTGCTTTGATTTGCTCGATCTTCTTCTCTGTAACAGCGGGAGTCTGAGAACCAGAGGCCGCTTTGCCGTTCGAGTGGCTGGACATAATGTAAATGTTGTTACGAAAGTAGACTTTAGAAAGAATTGATAGATGAGGTAGGAGTGCTTGGGGGTTTGATGTGAGAGTCGAGGGAATCACCTGGCTTTATGTACTAAACGGCTTTCACATACAGGGCACTGCTTTATGAATTTAGATATGTATTCATTAGTTCACGTTGAGTATGAGCCGGTAGACATACAGGCCGTGTGCTCCCCCAGTACCGACCTCATACCGACGTATGATTCACCTAACCATTTGGAAACGCACTATTGATAATTGAACGAGGTACTGCCGGAGTTGTTCGACATCACATATCTTCGAGTTTTCAGCTCTCACCATTTCACGCCACATTCCTGCTAGCATGTATATCTCGTCACATTATCAACCCGTAAGAAACGCCTCTAACGTCCAGGAAGTGTCTCAGTAGACCGTAAGGTTCGTGAGGCGCAATCGGCCATGAAACTGCCCCGCACGGGTTGTGACGCTTATGCCGAAGTTTAAGAGGATTGGCTTATTTATCCCGTGGCGGAGACTACATCGTCCGCCTGAACCTAAACTCATACGATATCTCTGAGTTTACTCTCCAAGCCAAGACTAGCGCCCTATTGTTGAATGTCTGTTACACAAAGGTCTCGGCCTTGACCACGCCAGCGCCATAAACCACCAAAAGAAAGGTGATAACTTGTGTTGGTTTGCTATCTCCATGGAATTGATGCGATATGTCGCATTGCTCTCATTCAAAAAAACTCTCTTTAATCTTAAGGAATGTGACCATTGAACAGTCATTTGAGAGTAACTGCCGGTTGATTGTGTTGGATGTCAGTAGGTAACTAAGTTTCTGCAGTTCCAAAGCTCCACACTGATAATCAGTCATACATTGGACATAGTTAAAACCATTGCACCCTAGTACTTGATACCCTGGATTAACTTTGCTACTCGTGGCCCTCGGGAAATTTATCCACTAGAGCATGTTCTGTTAGTTTACGCCCAGATACTTATTAGACATATGTAGTACTTCTAACTTCTTGCTGGATCTCAAAATATGTAAATAAGTGCTTTCTAGTGCAGCTCCAGGCCAGCCTTAAATCCTTTATATCTAGAAAATGAGCTCTTCTTGTAACGTCAGGCCGTTACTCTGTCGGGCGCTCCCCCTTTGCACAAAACAATCAAGTTAACAGTTTTAAGTTTTGTGGCGATTCTCAATCCAGTTTCTGCAAAATGAAGTTTTTTCGATGGTTTGTGTATTGTGGATTTCAGCTTACAAGCTTAAGCCATGTTATAACGTTTTGAGGTTCGCTGACTTTGCTCTACATGCAATGGCTAAGATATGGGCTTCTAAGGGCCCCCGCCGCTTTGCAGCTGAGAAAAGCCAATTTACTAAATGGTGGTATGTTCAGACATGCAGTGTGTTTCAACTCTGTGACAGGTAACAGAAAGTCATTCCATGTGGTTCTTTCAGATGAAAGGGCGTTGGTTTTGTGGTATGTACTCCATTGCCGTGAAATTTAAGGTAGTGCTCTACTGAGAGTTCGTGGTAGTCACAAAACATTTTCTGCGGATGGCATAGGTTAGGTCAGATTTTGCAAGGCAAAGCCACATAGCCGAAGCAAGTACTATCTTCACTCAGACTTAGCCTGACTTTCTACAAACGAGATATGTGACGAAACCTAGTCGTGTCACAAGCTTAAAGCCAAGGCAACAGTGACGGTGCATGATTACCTCGTATCTGCTATCTTTCTTGATCGGCCGCTCTCGGGCGAAGATTCATACCTTTTCGAGTCCATAGTCAAATAACACACCTCTACAATCACATGCTGGCTGCTTCTGAACAGGCGTCCATACTGGGCCACGGCAACTCTAGATCGGCGATTTCAGCTCGCCACAGGTTTGTCTTGTGATATGCACAGCCTCGGAGCGGCATAATCGCGCGTTCCAACAGATGGACAGTCAATTTCATTGGTGAATCACCAACTTCGTGGCATGCCGCTATTACCGGGTGATGCTGAGCTCCGACTGACAGTCGTTTCCATGAACTACACTTACGAACTTTGTTCTGTTTAGTCTAGCCTGAGTCCAATTTGCCTTAAATTGCCAAAATCCATCTTTGCAGTTGTTTCTTACCCATCTCAACTCTTCACTCCATTACTATCCATTCTACTATCTTTGATACCAAGAATATTTGTCTTTGCTCTCCACTTCCATCATGTCTGCCAATCAGTATGAGATTACGATCCTCAACCAATCAGCCCTTGATCAGCAGTACTTGTTGTTCCAAACTTCCCCTACTCCCAACGAGCAGCCTAGTTCCACTGTGTTCCTGAATGTTTACCAAGCGTCTCCAATCGTACCTAAGCCTACCGCTCAAGGCGAGGTCTCCAGGGCCTCTTTCACCATTACTGAGCAGTGGTATGCGATCAATGGCACAGCTCCAAGCCCTCTCAATGCCAATGTCACTGTGAATACTTCCGAAAGCGAGCCAGTCACCCTGGGAGCTGGCGCCACTAAGGGAACTACTTTATCCCTAACCACTATAAACTCTGACGGCGAAGATCCCAAATTTGACGATTCCAAGACCATGGCTGCTGCTCCCAACGGGGCGTTCCAGATCGTAGCTGACACTACCTTTCGGTTCCCTAATGGAAGTAAGTCTCGTCCTTCTTCTTTCTCCTCCTATCCCTCTCCTTAGCCGCAGAATCCGTCTTCACGTTATATGTTCAGTTTCTAATGAAATCGCCCTTTTTTTAGACAACATCTTCATCGGTCTGGGAGCACCTGATCCACTTGATGCTAGTAATATCCTCCCTACGGCGTCAATTGCCGCTCTGCCTGGCGTTACCGAAACGATTTGGCCGCACAATAAATGGTACATTTCTACCGGCTCCTTTGAGCAAGGTGAAATCATCGACACTCAAAGTTTGACCACCACGCCCCTTGAGGTCGACTTCGAAGCGGGCCTTCCAAAGCAAACCTTCACCAATAATTCCGATGGCACTTTCACACCTGTTGCGTGATAGATGCGTCACCTTCCGATACGGACCCAAACGTCGCGGACTTAGAGAGTGAGATTTTCAGAAAGATATCGAATCAAGACTCACACCACGCGTTTATGGAAGTTCTTTCATTAATATCTAGTATTCCTTTTTTTTTGGCTCACGAGGACCAGTTAGGGCTTGTCAGTGGGTTTTTTGCCGCGCAGAGGTTTTCCCACTCTTGCCGACTTGAGTTAACTCAATAGCTAGTTTTATGCAGTGTTTTATTTTTCTCTCAAACAACCTTGCACAGTGAAGCTAGCACCAGGCCTAGTATCAATACCTCCAACTACTCTCTTACCAATCGTTAGCTCGGTCTCAAAAATGGCATTCTATCTGTGAACACAGCCTTTATAATGTCTCAGCTCCAGACTCAGAGACCTGGATTTAGCCTCTTCTAGACAGGAGTGTGCGTCTATTTCTCATGTAATCAACCTCCCGCCTGGCCTGTTTCCAAGTTCTCAGGCTTCAAGTAGCTATAAAGCGCTGCTCAACATTCTGATGACTCTAACTAAGCGACTCTTCGGTACACAAGTTGCAGTCACACTCAGTCAGTGGCTGGCTGAACTCGAGATATCACATGCCCTCTTGGCTTAGCGGGACGTTAGTGAGGTGTCATGGCAGGATTCTGGCAATACGTTGGGAAACTCAAAGAGCTGGAATGAAGAGCTCACTAAAGTATCCAATCGCTTTATTCTTCTACTTTGGACCGGGCCGGACCGCACAATGAACGGCCCGACGACATTCACAGTTCGTGGCTGCTTACGCCGATGAGCCACGCCAACGCCATGAACTCAATCAAGTAATTTATCCTCATTATCACTGGGGTTTCAGCTGCCGAGTTTCGTACTTACGTGGTCAGCAGATATATACTTTTATATACACTAAGTGAAATTAGGATATTCTGTATGCCGCTTGCCTGATCGATTATACAGTGGAGGCTCACTAGACGCGATTTGTTGGTTGGAAGGTGTACAGCTAAAATGTTTTACAAGCCCCTGAACTCTCGAGCCCGTGGAGAACTGTCTGCCTACATTCACACGGAAGTTCAGAAAGTTTAAATAAAAGATAAAGAGTAAACGACAATCGATGGGTCTTTGTAACACTGACTACGACCTTGCGGAGTAGGCACCCCAAGCCTGAGCAAGACTGTCAAGACCTATCTCTGACCACAGACGTTGGACTTCCTCAGACCGCCCGGGTGTAGTCTTGAGACCATTTCCCGATTCCTGGCTCTCTGCCAATCCTCCATATACTCTCAAATCTTTAGACGCATGAAGCTCAGCCCATGGCTCCTCCATGGTTGTGAAACTAATCACATCTTGAGCAAAGTCTGTTGCTGTCCTCTTCTGGGAGTCATCCATGACGTGATTGAAGTTCAGGAACAGATATGCAATGTCAAGACAGTGAGCTGATCGACCTTTGTGTGGCCCATCCCATGGGTTAGACTCGTTAAAGTAGTAGAGCCAGGACTTGTTAGGCCAACAGTTGGCGTAGTGTTTCGATGTGGCAAAGTACTTTAGATCCGTTCCGAACTGGAGAATCTTGACGCGAGTTTCGCCATCATCGTCTGCTTCTGAGATCCCATATAGACTGAGAAGTCTCTCGAGCGTGTCGTGATGATCTGCAGGGATGGACTTCGCTAAAGACCTGGCAAAGTCTTGAGCCAGAGAGCCTTGATCACGGCCTGCAAAAAGACCGAGAACTTCAAAGATGACCGCATCAAAGTCGGTTGAGCCAATCATCAGAGGCGGTTTGTGTTTCGATGAAGGCAAGTGAGTCTCGACTGAATAGAACGAAGGCAGTTGGTCTGTCTCCATCACGGGCATTAGCGGGACTGACATTGGGATCTTGGATAGAATATCTTCCGGAGAAATTGCTATCAATGCATCCACTTGATCCTTGCTCGATAACGCAGAGTCTATTCCTAGACATTGGAGCACAGCTTTATATGCATCTTGGGCGACTTCATTAGAAGATGAAGGAACGGCCAAGTTGTTTCCACTCAAGCAAATGGCGCGATCGAAAAGATATTCGCCTTGTAAGTCCAGGTCAAGGAGATGCATGATGGAGCCTGGGATCAATCATCAGCTGACTTGTCTTCGAATAACGAGCAAATAGCTAATACTTACTACCGCCTGCGCTCTGACCAATGGCTGTGATGCGAGTTGGGTCGCCTGAAAACCCGCCGATGTTCTGACGAACCCACTGGAATGCCGTCTTTTGATCCAGGATGCCTCTGTTTGGAAGGATACCTGTGGCCCTCATCTCATTGCTGTCCAGAAACCCTGCAACTCCGAGTCGGTAGCTGCTAATAGTCAGTATAAGGCCCTGAAAATACCCCGTATCTACCAACTCATATGGAGAGACCCTACTTGATAGATACACCAATGATAGGCTTTCCGATAGACTTGGAATATGCTACGATGGCAGCCATATCATAATGTGGAGCCCCGCTGTCACCTATGATATATGCGCCTCCATGAATAAAGACAAGCACGGGTAGTTTTGCATCATTCTCGTTGAGGGTCGCTTCTGGAACGGTGATATCGAGAGTCAGGCCGTCCAGGTCCGACATGGGACGGTCATCGGGTTTGTTGAGAGCCTTTTGAATGAGGCCAAACTCAATGTCGCATGCTAGAGGTGGTCTGACGACAGTCGGGCTGTGAGGAGGAGGGAGGATTAGGTCAGGTCATGCTCGCAGATCTGGCAACAACCTACCCTCTCCTTGTCGCATGAATCTTTCCTCCATAGTCACTTTTCAGCACTGGAGCAGCAAGACGATGAGCTATTGTGGCATACTGGACACCCAGAAATTGCACTACTCCTTGATCATCCAACTTGAGGCCTTGGATATCACCCAATCGGGTATGGTTAAGCGTAAACGCCATGATTGGGGCAAAAAAGAGGGGAACGTGATATTATCAAATGTTTACAAATGGCGGAGTAAAGAGGAGAAGACTGCAATTGTAGCCGAAGCGACGGCTTTAAGACGTCAGCGAGTCTCATGTAATGAAAAGTAACTAATCCTGCCTTGCCATCACTGGCTGAGGTCACCCTTGCTACCCCAGATTTCTCCAGCCTAGGTAGCTATCCGATGGACCGGACTGGGGATATAGGTGCACTTGCCGCCGTGATACCTCGCGCACAAAACATGTGGATGACTATCATTACCCGGACCAGTAACTTGTCATGCATGTGTAAGCGAGAAACGAGGAGTTGAACTGGCACTACCCCGCTAAACCTGGGGCATGATGCAGTCTACCCGCTCGCTTCCCCGCACAAGATGCTCATGTTGATATCACTAACCCGCAAGCGTTAGAGTCTCGGCTCTGGGCGCGGCAAATGATTGCAGACTCTTCATTTTGACATCCCGGGTTGATCTTGAATGCAATACCCACTAATCTCATTACCAAGCGGCAAACGTACACGGCCAATATTCCCGCCATGCCACGTCCCAAGGTTCGTGCTCAAGATCGTAGACGCGCTGTGATAGCCTGCGTGCCCTGCCAGAATAGCAAGAAGAGATGCGACTCGCAAACTCCATGCGCCAATTGCCGGCGACGGGACTGTGTTCCTTATTGCATCTACGATCCAGAGGCTGCTCGGCCGCGACGTATAAGCAGCAAGGCACAACGTCGAGTCACGGCCAGACAAGACGATATCACGTCTAACAGCAACGACGATGCCGCCAGCTTAGACTTGATCGTTTGTTCTACTATCGCCTCGTCTGTCAATGAGAGCGATACCCATGAGCGCATACAGGCACCACGGACTCCAGAGTCTACAGCTGGAGAGCAGTCCAACGAAACCCCCGGCACCATCTCATCACCTTGCATGTCAAACGGCGGCAGTCAAGGCAGGGACTCAGAGGGCGAGAACTGTAAGCACATAAGAAAAATATGGCAATTTGAGCTCCCATCCCATAGCTGACTGGCTTGTAGTATCCATGGGCGATTCGGCATCTCTCTCTTTCCTCGACTTCCTACGTCACATGTTCCTCTGCTACATGGGACCATCCCCATTCACCGACAAAGAGCGGGCCAAAGCTATGTTAGAGTCGTCGTATCCCCAAGCCTCGTACGACGTCGCCGAGGACAGCCCAGACAGTCAGCTTACACTGGAAGAAAAGCGAGACTATATCCATAGGTTTCTAGTAGCGGTATGGTTACAACTACCACACGATATGTACGAAGCTAATATGGGATCTCAGACAACCGGAATTGTATATGTTTACTCCCCTAAGCAATTATTAGAGCTGCTCGAAGAGACTGAACACCCAAGTGCCTCTGATCCACCACAGTCTCTCCAAAAAGGCGCCATAATCGACTTGGCTATTGCCGTCGGCGGGCAAGGTTGTAGAACAAGCCCCAAAACTCTTTATCATGCCCAGAAGCATTTTGACCGTGGACAAAAGGTAGCCTTTGATGGTATGCTGCTTAACCCTACAGGCGAACTAGTTGCTATATTTCTGCTCATGAGTATCTATATGGTGAATGCGTGCAAGAGAGACGGGGCCTTTATATATCTTGGTGTTGCGACTCGAGTGGCACATGCGATAGGGATGCATTTGCCCGATTCTTATCGCAATTTGACACCAGAAGTACATCGATTTAGGTAGGAGACCTTGTGGTCTTGATAAACCAGTGGCGGTGAGCTGACATACTTGCTTCAACAGGCTTCAGGTATGGAAAAGTCTGCGTATCTTGGATATCGGATTCGGAGCAGTCCTAGCCCAAACCCCAGCGTCTTCACCAAGACGTGGAATAAGTGTCCCATCATTCTCGGTCCCAGACGGACCAGAACCCTGTACGCCAGAATTCACATCCATGTCAGCGTGCTACGGAGTCTGCGTTATACTCGAACAGATCACATATCTCCTCAACAACAAACAGGACACGAGCTTGACATCGACAAAAGAAATCCTCAGACAACTTCGAGACTGGAGCTCTGCACTGCCGTCGAGCATGACGAATTGCACGGTCAGCTCCCCGATCTCACCGGAGAAGTGGTGGCAGACTTTAGGCAACTTTGCCGTTTCGATCTTTTATTACTACACTGTTATGCTGGCTACTAGACCGGTTCTGATATCGTACATGCTGGGGAGGCTGAAACGCCTGGATCGCTCGGATGGTGCCTTTGGGGAATATCCTGCCAGTGATGCGGAGACGAAGGAGTTGGCACAGGTCTGCATTGATGCGTCTGTATTGCTGATCGAGACTACGCGAAGAACACAGTCTGCTGGCCTGCTCATACAGAACATGACGCTACTCAAGTAAGAACCCCCATTTGTGCCCAGTCAAGGCATATACTAACTGTAGACTCAGAGCTTGGATATTTAGCGGCTGTCTCATCCTGGCCTTTTCTCTCTTCGTCGAGGCCACACTATCAGAAAGATCAACAACATTCGAGACAGAGGCCGCTCTGCATAGTGGCATTGGCCTCATTCGGGACCTGGATCGAACAAGTCCTCAAGCACATCGCTATCTAGATGTATTAACAGAGCTTCGTAACTCCCTACAGAGTTATCGAGAGCGTCTCGTTCCACCCAAGAGAGAGAGCAGCGGACAGTTCCTTAGCCAGATATTCGTCCTGGACCAGGAGAGAAGTGATCCGGCAGATGCAGACACTGACATGTCAACATTGGCATCGTCAATTGTGCCACCAGGGCTAGGTGATGAGACATCTGGAGGTCTACTGTTGTTGCAGCAGGTGACGGAGGCAACGCATAGTATGGCGAGTATGTGGCGCATACCAGATGAGAGCCAAGGATTTGGTGATGAAGGTCTGCCCATGGCATTGGGAGCGTCTGATTTACACTGGAATGGAATTATTCAGGGAACAGACAACTTTTTGTTTGATACGGAGCCATTTACAGATATGTTGAGCCATTTCTAAGCCTTGCTTATAATACAATTCAACTTCTAGATTATATTTGCTACTAGGGACCTTAAATCAATGTCTTGAGAATCTCGGCGGGCGTGTTCTTTGGCGCAGCAATCTGGAGGACCTCCTTACTTGTCGTGGCAACTCCGCATTTTCCCTCCCATACAACTTCCCCAGCATACTTCATCGATAGAATGACATTCTTGGACTGCTGTGTCTGGGCCGCGATGTGTTCAACGAAATCCATGTCCTTGAAGATGACATGCTCAACTTTGGTGCCAATGTATTTCTCAACAAGATGGACGGTTTGACGTCCAGTGATGTCTTCAGGCCCATTCAGGACATATTTGGCTTTATTGTGCAAGTCGATGTCCTCCGAAGCCAGGAGGTGAGCCGCAAAGACTCCGACTTCGTTGGAATCGATGGGACCGACGGCTGCATCCTCTGAAGCCATGAGCCTCAACGGCTCTTGCTTGCCTGTCTCGCAGAACATCTTGATAAGACTGGCAGCAGAACCAAGATAGAGTTGCGTAAAGACATTGGGCTGCAATGAAGTCCATTTAAGTTGAGCAAACTCTGGCGAGCTCAGCAAGGCCTCGATTGCCCAGTGAGCCCGTGAATAGTAGGCGGCGCAGTCAGGACGGACGTTTGGAGCGGTCGTGGAGATGCGCACGACGTATTCAACGCCAGCGTGGAGAGCAGTGACATGGAATGTCGACTCTTCGGCAAATTGATTGGGTTCGTTGTGCGAGGCGATAAAGGCCCTGAGGACATGGTGTTCTCGAAGCCAGTCTGCGGTGATTTCGACCCAGTTCTGTTCAACGACCTCAACATTTGGCAGGCGAGCGAGTTGTTCAGCGGCAGCTCCGCCAGACGAACGTGTCAGAGCTAGGATCTTGTAGCCTGAGAAGGTCGTGTTGTCCTTGACAAGTTCTGACAAGGTCGTGACAACGCCTCGTCCAGTATTGCCAGTGGCGCCGGCGACGAGAAATGTAGGAGACATGTTGATAAGAGGGTAGCAGCTGGATGTTCTAATCAAGAAGAAGCTTGGATTATAAAAGAGACATTCATATTTCATCGTAGCTGCAGGGTTCTACGTTATACCTTCGGGCTGATTACCAAACTGACTCTGTTACTAATAAAGCGCTGCGGACTCCGCTGTTAAGTGTTGTCAATATGGAGCTGCGGACTGCTATTGTTTATCAGTTATGGACCTAACCGCCGTAGAATAAAATTCTATTGGTTGCTAGAAATGGCTGGTACGGGCTACTGAGTTGAAACCGCGGGAGCTGGTCGAGATAACGTTATCCCTATTGACCTTGATTGCGGATGGTGGTTGAAATAACGTTATACTCATTGAAGACTGCACATATTTCAAATATCAGACCATTGATCACCCTAAGGCTGCATTAGCAGATGTCCACTCAGAAACAGATTGCAATGATATAGTATAGTACTTACTGTCCCAAAGGCCTTTTGTCCGCGCCAAAACTCTTCCGTGAGAGGTCCAAACCACTCAGACATCGTCCTATCAATACCTTCCTCCGTGTCAAACCCTCTACCACCAGCGACCAGAACAGATTTCCCACTCAAAGTCTTGTCAGTTGCGAGCTGGGTGATAAACTTCGCAACATCATTAGGTGCATTTAGCGGGAGATGGTGCTTGTCCCAGATCGAGCGGACGTTATCGATCATCTGCGTGTCTGTTGCCCAGGGACACACGGCGTTGATGCGGATGCTGTACTTTGTTGAAGCCAGCGCCCGTAAGGATCTCATTAGTCCTATAATGCCATGCTTTGAAGCGCTGTAGGCGAAGAGACCTGCGGCTTCGGTTATTCCAGCGATAGAGGAGAGTAAGACAATGGACTTGGAGAAGTCCTTCAAGCTGGCCTGTCCTTTGTCTGCCTTCATAAAGGCAATTGCTAATCGACAAAAGAGAACAACGCTTGTGAGATTGATGTCGATGGTATTCTTGAGCGGCTGGGGTTCCGTCATGACCGCCTCGAGGGTAAGTTGGTCTGGCCCAAACCATCCATTAGGTTCTACAATGGCAGCGCATGATATTGCGATATCGACATGACCTCGTTCTTCATAAGGTGTCTTGAAGAGATGAAGTTGTTCGTTGTAGTTGCGGACGTCGAGCTTTTGAAAATGTACCGATCCGCTGCTATGCGGTATGCTTGACTGGATATGACTGACCATCTGATGGCCCTTGACATCGTCCACGTCGCCGAAGTAAACATGGGCGCCTCTCTCGTACAATAGGGAAACCGTTGCTGCGCCAATTCCTTGCGCACCACCTACGCGGAAGGCATATTAGAAATAGATATATAATAGAAGTCGATGAAAGCTGGAGAGCGAAATGTTGAGCACTACCTGTCATGACAACCACCTTCCCCTTTACATTATCCGCGATGTCTGAGGAGAAGAATATCTCAGCCATATTTTGTTCCAAGTTGCGTAGATAGAGAAGATGAAAAAAATGAGCAAGAGTACTAGCAGTGTTGACTAACTGTAGAGACTTGAGAGAAGAAAATGGGTTTCGAATGGGCTGAACTAAACCAGGCCTAGAACTAAGAAGTGGATAGATCTCTATGGCTGTCCTGCACTATAGGTGCTTTTGCCGACAGTGGGGAACTCCGGACACTCGGGAAACAGGCGCGGCATCTACACCCATTTCATCGGCACGCGTTTACATGTCCAAATTCCGGTCTTCCGAGCTAAATAAGTACCATTCACTGTATCATCCGGAAATTGACATCAGTTACCTCACAACAGATCCCCGAATCACCAAGTCCAGCCATCCAGTCTTCCCATTCTCACTCCAACCTAGCTACAGTGCCAAAATGTCGCCATCTGCTGATTCAATCGTTGATACGTCTTCTCGAGGCCAAAGATTATCCATCGTTGTCACTGGAGGCGCAAGTGGTATTGGGCTAGCTATCACCCGTCACTTTGCTTCCCAAGGTCATATGGTTGCCGTTCTTGACGTCAACTCAAAGACTGGACCAGATGTTGTTGCGGAAGTGTCAAAGCAGTATCCCCAAGCCACCGTCAGTTTTCGATGGTGCGATGTTTCTTCCTGGGAAGGACAATACGCGGTCTTTGACCAGATCTATCGTGAGCACGGAGACCGAATCGATATTGTTATCGCCAATGCAGGAATCTCTGATCCTGTAGTCGGAGCCCTTGATTGCACTCCAACAGAGTTTCCCCGGAAGCCGAACCTGAAAATGCAGGATATTAATCTCAATGGAGTAATTTACAGTCAGTTATACCTCTTCTTAAGCCTCCCCATGCTCTATAAGCTGACAAGCACCAACTATAGGTGTTGGACTTGCTGTGCATTATATGCTCAAGAACGAAGTCGGAAGTCGTCTCCCAAATTCGAGAGGCTCCATTGTTTGCACATCATCGTCAGCTGCCATCTATCCGTTCCCTGTTTCGCCGCTCTATTCTGCAGCAAAGTCCGGCATTATAGGACTGGTTCGTTCCATGGCTATCAGGCTTGAAGAACCCAAGATACAGATCAACGCTCTTGCACCCGGAGTCCTGGGTGAGTTTACAGCCCCCAAACACCTGAGTAATTTTATCCGCCTGCTAACATATAATACAGAAACAAACATCACTCCTGATAAGGAACTCTTCAAAGCCATGATAATCACGCCACTCTCAACCTTGACAAAAGCTGTTTCGCAATTCGTGACAGACCCTTCGAGGACTGGCCAGGTGGCGGAACTGAATGAGGAGACTATTACACTGAGACCTCATGCGGATTATGCTGATGCTGGGGCGGAACATAACAACAAGATGTTTTATAAACTAGGTCATGCTTGAGATACTGTAATAAGGACTGTGTATTTGATTGCATTTGCAGTTTCATGTCTACCATAGGCGTGGCCTCTTAGTTCCCCGTTGTTTGATCAAACAGCTGATGCTTACATCAAGCGCCTTACGCGTTGCTTGACTAACGTGCCCTGTTACCAATACGACCAAATTGTGCTAGACACCCTGCCTTCGTGTACCAACAACACTATGTGCTAGTGATATCCTTCCCTTGAGTTCAATGCCCGCTGCCGAATATTGCGACAACCAAGCTAGCGGCAAAGGGACAGACCCATGATGTGCAGCCCGCCCCCGCACTACACTAACCCCACGATCTGCATCTCACATGTCCAGAGACTAAGCATGCAATATTAGCGGGGTAAAGAGCGTGCTACTACTCTATAGCTGTAACTTCGTCGCCCTTGCCATGTCTTGGCGAGACACTACGGCTAACTCTGATGGTGATATAGTGTCGGCAGATGGCCCTTGGCGATTGTCGGCACGAGGGATCAACTGCACCATTGGCCTGCCAAGTTCTCTGGGGTAATGTGAGCTCCCAGCCACAGAGTCTCGACTGCCAATAACACGATTGGTCACGACTACCATTGGTCCACCACGAAGCGGGAAACGACTCTGCTAATCCAGCCCGTGCTCCTTCACCCCATTCCCCATGAATTATCCCTGAATGATGTCGGCGATATGCCCCCGAAATGACATATAAGCTACCCACACCCTCGAATCCTTCGTCATACTTCTGCATCTTCTCCATCTTCAGCATAACCACTATCTCCTCACATTGCATACGAGATTCAACCTGATTTTGCATCATGGGTCTAGGTGTTCTTCCTGATCGTCACCTCTCCGATGTCCCCGGAACATCATTCCTCAATGAGAAGGGTATTTCTTCCAGCCTCGAAACCGCTCCCGAAAAGGATCATTCCAACCTCAAGCACGATTCGACCGGCAAGATCGTCCTTGTTCCTCAGCCTTCCGATGACCCGAATGATCCCCTTAACTGGCCGCGATGGAAGAAGGAGATGTTCACTGTCTCTATCATCGTGGGCTGTGGGTGCGTCGGTGCTATAGGACCCCTTCTCGGTCCAGCATTGGTGCCTATTGCTGAGGAATTCGACGTACCTCTCCAGAGGTTCAGTCTAGGCTTCACGGGATCCCTGCTCATTGCTCTGGCGTTTGGCAACCTTTTCTGCAACTCGTTGGCGATGATGATTGGCAAGCGGCCGGTGTACCTCATCACCACATTGGGCCTCCTCTGCTCAACTATATGGACTGCCGTAGCCAAGGACTTTATCTCGCTCGCCATCTCTCGTGCCATCCAGGGATTTTGCATGTCTCCGATGGAAGCCCTGGTTCCTGCATCAATCTCGGACATTTGGTTTGTTCACCAAAGGGGCTTTCGGAATGCGGTTTTCAATCTGGGTGTCCTTGGTGGCATCAACCTTGCTTCACCTATCGGTTAGTCTTATCCTCTACCCTTTATCCTGTCTATCTCATACTGATATCTTACTATCAGCTGGCGCTATCATCGACCGATATGGCTATAAGACCTGCCTCTGGGCTATGGCCGGTGCCTTTGGACTTCAGCTTATACTCACCTTCTTCTTCATGCCCGAGACAGCTTACAAGCGCTCCACCAATCCAGACACCCTTGTGAGCTCTCACGCGGAGGGACATTCTGCTGTGGACGACAAGAAGGAGTGCGTATCAGAAGTTGAAAACAAAGCTTCAGTTTGTGACAATGCACCCATTCCAGAGCCGCGTTCATTCATCTGCAATCTTCGACCCTGGAGCGGCTACTACGACGCGTCTGGATTCTGGTATAGCATGTTTGCGCCTTTCAAGATGCTTGGTTCTCCCGTGGTCATTTGGGGATGCTTCCAGTTGACCATTTGCATGAGCTGGCTGGTGCTCCTTGCATCCACGGCTTCGCAAATCTTTACTCAGCCTCCATACAACTTCACCGTTGCCCAGGTGGGTTTGACAAATTTGTCATCCTTCGTCGGTACCTTTATTGCAACCGCGCTGGCCGGTATCATGGTGGACGGGTTGGCCACGTTTATGGCTAGGAGAAACGAGGGAATCTACGGTAAGTCATCCGTTACCCACAGACCAAAAGGTTATCCAGAACATATTTGCTGACTCCTCACTGTGGCAGAGCCTGAATTCCGTCTTCCAATCCTCGTCCTTCTGACTACACTTGGTGGCAGTGGCTTTTTTGGCTACGGCCAGAGCCTTTCAAACGGCGAGCCTTGGCCGATCCCTGTCATCGTCTGCTTGGGCATGATCAACCTCGGAGTCCAATTCGGCATTGTTGGGCTTGTATCCTATGTCGTCGACTCGCATCGTCGCGAGGCTGTTGAAGCATACGCAATGATGAGTTTCACCAAGAATGTCTTTGCCTTTGGCATGAGCTTCTATATGAACGACTGGATTGAGTACCAAGGCGTGAGGGATGCCTTCTTTGTGATTGGAGGTATAACTATGGCACTAAGCATGGCTACCATCCCCATGTACATCTACGGAAAGAGAGCACGAAGCTTTGCATTTCGCCATGGTTTTCTTCTATAGGATTATTCTGGTTAATTAACTTTACCTTGTACTTTAATTTACGATCGGAGAGCTCAGCCGCTTTTTTCTACTTTACGACTCCAAATTTCCAACTTGTGAATGTGGCGTCAATGCATAACCGAGCTGATGTGTTGGCAGTTTCTGATTGATAGCCTGATTCACGAATCTGCCTTGTCTGCTTCTCGACGTAAGCCGCAATGTGCAACCAGTACCAGAACAAAACTCAGCGCTTCCCCTACCACTTTACCCCGCAGTCCTTTTCATCCTTCTCTTCCAAAACCCATCAGATTCGATATGGGTGACCCATTCTCTATCGCGACCGGCGTCGCTGGTCTCATTTCACTTGGAATTACTGTTTGCGACGGTCTTCACACCTACTTCAGCGCTTTCAAAGACAGAAAGGATGATCTCGCAATTGTCGCACAGAACGTGGCCTTGTTCAAATTCCATATTTTCGCCGTTCAGTCGAGTGCATCAAAGCTTGGCCATCGTCATTCTCCAGCCATCGACGGCTTACAGCTAAGTTTAATCAATTGCGAAATGCAGCTTCAATGTCTCCAGAAGTTGCTCAACGAGTTAATGCCGACTGAAGATCCATCATTGTTCAAGGAGATTTGGAGAAGACAGAAACTAATTGCGCGATATCCCTTTGATCGCAAGAAGCTGGTGCAGTTCGAAGAGTACCTTACACGGGCAAACACCACGCTCAGTAGCTTCATCCAAGCCCTCAATCTGTGAGCCATCTCCAAGCATGCTAAAAGAGAATTGTGTTGAGTAAGACTAGCGACCTAAATATCCGAATGGGTGATGAGTTGGAGGCTTTCAGAACGTCTCTCGAAGCACTTGACATCAACACCCCAGCTACGTTGAGAACCATCGCCACCAAACTCGACGTCAGCCCCAAAGTAGAACCCATCACCCTTCAACTTCTTCCATCCAGAATAGAAGATGTTACAGCCTCCAGCAGCAACAGTATCGGCTTGCACCAGAATGGCGTGAGTGTTGCCGAGACGAAGACCTCTTACTCTGGAAATCGGCGATCTTTCGAAGACATCACCAACTCCCACTCCACGCCTCGTTATCTGCAGAATGCCGAACTCGAACAAAGACTCTGCAAGAAGCTAGCAGACATGGACTGTACCTGTGGAGCTTTAAACAACAAGACTAGTAATCGTCCTGCAAGTTGGACATATCGATTTTGGGGCGGACTGACCGTCTCAAGACAAGGAGACACACGGGCGAATCATCGCCCTGGGTGCATTTTCTTTCGGAAGTCGAAGAGGAATATCTCGAAAGCTTCAGCGACGTACTTCGGGCTTCTATCCCTTTTCTCCCATAGTTTCACTGTTTCTTTCACACAAGATTACCCTGGTGGGCCATACAGCGTCTTTTTTGGGTTGCGGCCGTGTAACATTGTTGAGAGCAGTCCAGCTTTCGAACTCTTTGAAATGCAATCATTAGCGAAGGAGAATGGTCTGGATTACCTAGCAGACAGTGTTATTAAAGAGTTGAGAGTCATCTATGGATCCGGAAATGCATCACCTTTCGATGTTGACCAACACGGTAATAATGTTGCACACTTGTGTTTGGAAGTGAGTATCCCACTGTTAATCCCGTTTCTGTTTCTTGACGACTTCAAGCTAACAACTTTGAGGCTTTTTTATTCTGTGATCCACCACGGTCAACGGACATAGCAACCGATGCCATTTGCAAGATACTAAGCTACCTAGCCGATGTCGGTGTGCCTATCACGGCATCGACTTTCAATCAATCGTAATATTGAAGCCATTCCAGATTACTACACTGATCTGATATGAATTAGTAACTTATTAACCCTATCAATGTGGCACTACAATCTCTGGGTTCTCCCGAGGCTTTATAAACTGGTTATGGTCTACGATTCAAACTTTTACAACACCGAGCTGGCTAATCGAAGATTCGCAAGCCTAATTGCTTTTGGGATGGATAATGGAGAGAAAGTTCAAAGGCGCTTAAAGACCCTATTTGAATATCCCGATATATGTGAAGGTCATATTTCTGTTGCCTGCTTGTCATTATTGCTTAATTATTGACGACTTAGCAGATATTGGATTCTCGGAGCTGTTTTTAGCTGTCATCACGAAAGATCATCGAAGGCTTCAAGCTATACTGGCAGAGGAGGATAGCCTCTTGACTATTCCGCAAACGGATCTCTATGGTCGCAACATATTACATGCAAGTTGCAATTGGCCTGATGGCCTGAGACTTCTTTTACAACGGCAAGATGTCCGTCTCTTGATGGAAATGGCCCCGTTCACATTTCCCGGTCTCAGCCCTCTGTACTATGCTCTCATCCATAGCAAGATACACTGCAAAGCTCCAGACCAGTGGACTGAGTGTGACGACTGCACTTGCTACGTCGGTGTCCAACTCCTGCTCGAAGCCGATTGCAAAGTCACCGCCGGTTACATATGGGGGATAACCCTAGCTGATTGCTCATTGAAGGCCCGAAAATTGTTCTTCAAGCATCTCAAAGACAGACGTCAGCGACTCCGGAATATGGCACTCAGCATCCTTCCTGAAAGGATCCTGCGCCAATATGGAGTATCCACAAGCCCCTTGCCTGACAAGACTGCTTTTCTACTGTGGAGCGAACTGCAGGAAGCTCAAGATCAGCAGGATCATCGAATATGGGTTCCCGATAGCCTCAACCCTTGTAACAACAACAGGCTATGCATACCCGAGAGCCTTTTCGGTGTTCCTCATCACCCATTTGTTGTAGAGATGGCACTCGACTATGGCTTCGCACCTAGAGATGAAAATGGCGTTCAACCACTTCTTTATGGCCGCCACATTATACAGGACAGTTCTCCTGAGGATCCAAGAATTTGGGTTAAATATTTAGATTGGCTTCTCGGCCAAAATCTATGCTCAGAGCTTTCATTGGGACCCTTCCGGCTTTCAATTCTTCATCGCATTGCATATTACATTGGGTTGCAGATGCGTCCCAGGGCCTCCGGTTCGTGGCGGCAGGATGTCTGGTTATCCGAACTACAGGATTCAAGGACATTGCTAACATCCATATGCGACAGCAAATCCGAGTGCAATATTCCATGTCCTTGCTCATCAGGCATATTTACCCGACCTTTGGCACATATCTTGCCCGCACTTTTGTTGCCTGGAGGCGGATTATACTGCAAGTATTTCTTTTCGGACATAGAAAATCATATTGAACATGTGATTAGTAGCACCTCTCTGTTAAAGATTTCAGAATCCAGCTCTGAAAGTTTATATATGGCGAAATGCGGAATTCATATTCTGACTATGATGTCCTTGGGGGTAAGGCACTTGCCAATCTGCCTGACTGAAGGTTACGGTCATCTCAAGGACTCGGACTTCATGGAAGAAGAATGGAAAGAAATATTAGACGAGGACCGAGAGTTGATCGATCAGCTTGAAGCACTTGATGAAGAGTTTGGGGACGTTTTCGATCGCCAAAACGTCCCTATTGCAGAATTTCTTTCAGGCTACTGGTTGACAAGAATGGCAGAAGTCATCCAGGAGTTGCATAAGCCCCTGACTCATCACGATAGACATGAACTTTTGGAAGCCGGGGTAGTGTTGGAAGAGGACAATTCTGACGGCTCGGAATGTTGAGAGGATATGATTTACGTAAGACAGAGACCATACTTTCGCTGTTCAATCGAGTGCATTAAATCTACGCCATCGTCCTGCGCGAAATCGCCGCTGGTATCGCTGACACGAAAGCTTCGCTTATTTTGTTCTAGAGCTAAGAACTATCTGTAGATCCGTCACCTTTTGGAGTCGACTAAGACGGTGATGATAATTCTCGCTCACATATGCTTGAATGTGAGTTAGCTGCGTACTCAATATTCTGTTCCCTTTCATTTCCCTGCCACACCTCGCTTCTTCCTTCTTATTCCTACCAAGGTTCACTTCTGCATTCATTTTCTCTGGCATGTAACAACATAAGTATCAGCACCGTCACATTGCTCAGACAGCTAAGCTTTCCGTGGTAATATACGCTGTCGGCCACGAATCCCAACTGCATTTCTCAGACAGCAACATTAGTTCTGCACTCTCCAAATAACCGGATTTGGCAGTTTGCTCGGCCCAAAGCCTTCTCACGCCATTGCAGAGTCTAGAACCTAGCAACACGCGATAAAGCTGAGACACAAGAAGCTCGACCCAAAGCCAGCTTCAAAGATACGATGGCTGCACGCATCACTCCCTCACAGCGATACACAAATACCGCAATCAGAGCGCCACAGTTAATGTTTTGCGAGGCCTCGACTTCCTCAGTGCAAGTCACACAAGACAAGTGCAAACTTAGCTACTGCCACAACTCGGTTCAATTGGGAGAGCAACTTTCTAACCGAATCATAGCCATTATGATTAAGGTATGGCACACGGATTGAGGCGGCGCTCGGCCAGGTTCAACCCTAAATTGCGCTTTACAAAATTGACTTCAGCCATCATACCAGCTGTTCAGACAATTACAGGGGTTCTGACTCTTCAGATGTCAATGTATTAGCTTAACCTTAACAGAACAGAAGCAGAGCTTTAAAGTACTGCATTAATAACTAAATAAAAAAGATTTATAACAGCAAAACTACCAAGTTCAAAAAGCTCATTACAGTATTTTTCAAAATATATGGGTCTTACTCTTTATATATACTTATCTTTTGAAAATGAAATTACTTATTTTACTTTTTATTTTACTTTTTATTAATGCCGTTATTGCCTTACCAGCAAACGGGTTTTGTATGTTAATGCTTATGTTACTTACAGTAGTTGAACTAATAATCTTATTATTCTTTTAGCTTGCTTTTGTAATCCCGCTGTCGATATGCTAAGAGGAAAGGGAGATGAAGCATCAACCTTCTGTTTTCAATGGCTGAGACATACAATACCTATATACATCCGACAAACTGAAGCTATTACTTCTCAACTAACGACAACCTCTTCTGTTACTGAAACTAAGCGTATCACTGTTACTCATATGCTCACTACTACTGTTGCAAGCTTCATCCCTCAGACAAGGACAAGGTTAACTACAGCAACATCAACAAAAACCGCCTTTACTACAACAACTATACCTCCTGCAGTTCAACAGAAGTCTACGATCACAGCTACAGTCACTCAAACAAGTACAAAAGTAGTTCTTGCGAGATATAGCAAGTATATTGATGAGACTGTCACCCAAAGGGCTACAGAAACCGGTATAACTACTATCAGTACTACAGTTACTACACTTCTGACAGATATTGACACTGCAACTCTTTCAGGCACAATTACAGAAATTGTTCCTTTTACTTAAGTCTGCTTCGATTATGTTAACTTTCAAGCTAATAACAAACCTTTCTCTAGTACTGAGTAAGTTATGGTCGAATGAATCTTTCCAGTTAGCTGTAACTAAGTCGCTTAATAGAGAAGCACTAGCTACTGTAACTATAGGAGGCGGCAAGTTCTTCTATAAGCGACATATCCAGGCTCCTACTCACATGCATTCAGGGGAGGTCTATTGTAACATCGATGGTAATTACGATCCACAAGACTGGGTTGGCGTTGCATTAGTCGAATACCTCAACGAGCCAATTCTCATCAATTGCAAAACCTATTGCTTAACTATTTATAGAGCTGTTAGCTTTGCCTTGAATCCTAACTTTTGCATCTGCTTAGCAGCTGGGGCGTAGGTGGTTTTATTCTAGCTTTCTTTAATGCCGAGACTAACATAATTAGGCGCCCTTCAGCCGACGAAAGCACCGAATCTTCCTTCAAAGTTTATGACTTGACTTGTGACATGGCTGAAAGGGTAAGTATATTCTTTTAAGTACCAATAGCGCAAAAACAAGCCTGACTGTTTCAAAGCCTAGGCTGCAGGCCGCAAGACGCTATGTAGTCGCTGCTGGCCCACATCTTGCCAAGCGAGACGTAGCAATACCGAACTGGCTTCCAGGACCGAGGAATTTCGAAAGCATCTACCCAGAATGTTTATAGGTTTTCACTATGCCTCAAGACAATGAGTTCATGACTATTTATGACACTCGTACCGTCATTATTAGGGCGACCAAAACCATGAGGGTAACTGGGACCCTATCCACATTCATTCATGTGTTCTCTACATCAAGCAAGACCACTCTCGCAACAAAAACGACTGCTATTACGAGAACAAGCACCGAGAGGGTAACTAAAAGTCTCACTGCAACGTATTGGAGTTTACAAACCCTCAGCACTACAGTTACTGAGACCAACAAGTATGTTGTAACAAAAACCTTGATTACTACAAGGATCGTTACAAGAACTGTTCCTATTACCGAGGTTTATACCGTTACTTTCACTGGCATCAATGCTGTTACGGAGGCAGTTGGCTCCACAGTCACTGTAACTCACGCGACTATACAAACTGTTTTATTTACTATCACAGCTTCAGTCTCAGCCATCACTGCTACCGCCGAAGCGACAACAATCTGGGGCTGAGGTCCTTGGTATCATTTCTGGCTGTTCTACTTGTTTCTCCAGGGCTACTGGAAGAGGTCGAGTGGAGCAAGCCCCTAGCTGATGCCGATGGACATGTGAAAGGTCGGTCTGTTGTTGAAGGAGGACGATACTGATGGCTCTGAATGTTGTATTGGAGGATATTCGAAGGTGTAAATTGATAATATCTCAATCTAGTCATCAACTCCCAATTCCAAGCATAATCAATAGGTGAGACTCCGTGTCACAGCCCAGAACTTGAAGTTATCGAATCGGTGATCTCGCGCGCGCTCATTGGACGGGCTATGGCAGTATATGTGAGTAATCCGGATATATGCTCTGATAGATAAAGATCTCTTATCTCTGTGTATGCACTGATTGGGATGTATTAGCCGGAAGCTTATCTTTTGACATAGAGATCTGCAGATTTATATCCTAGTCTATCGTGGTTTATCTGCGGGGTTGCTCCATTTTCAATAAGCGACATGCATTAATTCACCCATCTTCCGGGTCGTCGGCGCGCCCTTTAACATTGTCTTCTTAGTAATTCCTCACCGTTTAAAGATAAGCATACTCCGTAACCTCATTTGTTGTTCATGACTAGCTTAAGGCTGATAAGCGGAAGTAACGTTAATGCCCCGATCTCGGATGCTCCATCACATCTGCAGCTCATGTCTTGCTGCAGCGCATCTCTGACCACTTACAACATGCCTTGCGTTTATGCAACCAGGGCTTGAACGGAGCTTTTGACTTGGCCGACGCCTATGGGTGTCCTATCATGGCTTCGGGGAACTAGCGGCGCCGACGGGGCAAAGGGCGTTCAAAAGTTCTTTGCAGATATGTCGACGCGTCTCTTTCGGGCACTTGGGGTCGCCGATGCTCACGTTGCCCTATCTAATCTCAAGAAGAGAACATAAGTTGATTCACTATTCTAGGTAATATATAGTTCGCAATCCTCCTCTTCCGGCCATATTCATTGCTGGCTATAGACTATAATTGTGACCTGTTGCCATGAAGCAATCTATTGCAAATGTTATCTTTGGGCTCGGGGGCGCCATAGCCTCTTCTCTACCCGTCCAGCTCCATACAAGAGGGGCCCCAACTTCTCACTTGACAAATATCTACGTCAAGTTTGATCAACCGTCAGAGGGTCCTTTGTCATTCACTTATGGTCTTTGCAACAGCAAATCTCGGACTGAGTCCCACCACACAATAGCCATTACTGAAAGCCAAGGCGTCTCACGATTAGTCTGGATCATTCCCGAAGATTCACATGATAACGGCTGCATCTCAGCATGGACAGAAGATAATGTTCTCGTGGGACGTAGTGAGCCTCAAAGGCTTCATCGAGTAAGGCGTCGGAACGTTCAGAAGCGGGCAGCAGGTGAGTCATGGTCCTTTCATTGTGGCTGGAGACTGATAGCAAGGCTGTGACAGATCCAATCCTCATGAATGCCGAGAATGGTATTGATACACTGGGACCATGGTTCGACGGCGTTGAGCACCTCTCCAAGACCGGCATTTCTGCACTGGATGCCGACGCTGCCAAAGAGAAGCACGTTGCGATCGTTGGTGCGGGTATGTCGGGCTTGATGACATACCTGGTTCTCTCACAAGCAGGCATGACCAACATCAGCATCATTGAAGCCGGCAATCGACTTGGCGGCCGTGTTCATACCGAGTATCTTACTGGCGGACCTTTTAACTATTCCTATCAAGAGATGGGACCCATGCGATTCCCTTCAACTTACAAGAGTCCTGACACCAACGAGACAATGAACATCACGGACCATCAGATGGTATTCCAGCTCGCAGAGGAGATGAACAAGCTCAACAACCACGACAAGAACCTCAGTGTTGACTTCATTCCTTGGATCCAGAGTAGTCCAAATGGCCTTTCGTACAAGAACGAGTTCAAGCTACCAAGTGGACTGCCCCCAACGCTAAAAGAGATTGCAGCCAATGCATCACTCAGCCCTGCAAGCGTCAATGACCCTATGACCCAAGACCTTCAGACCAAGGTTGATACATTCATGCCTGGCTCAGAGTTCAGCACTCTTATGGCAAAGAACATGTTCAAGGCTCATAAGCAGTGGCTCGAAACTGGTCTGAATGGCCTGGGTGGCGATCAATGGTCCGAGTATGCCTTCATGGTCAAC